GGGAGGCGGGGTATCCCCCGGCCAGCTGCCGGTGACTGGCCAGCTGGGGAAACCCAGCTGCCGGCTGAAGTACCCTCCTTTACCCTTCCCTTACCCTTTCCTTCCCTTCCCCAGAGCCAAACACCTCTCCTTCCCTGCTATAACCCAGTCCCCTTTCTCCCCCAACCTTATGTCCCGGTCCCAGCTGTTAACAAATACAGGTTGGAGCTGTAAGAGCACGTGCGCTTGAAACGCAACCCCCACTTTTTCCATTATTTTCAATAGGAAAATTGACCCCAAATAAAATGTTTTCACTTAGCACAATCATTTTCTGAAACATATCTACTGTGTTAAATGAGGAATTACTGTATATCAAAATTGTACTGGGCATTTTATTTTTCTTATTAGGGATGTTAAATTTAGATTAATTAAGCCAATAGTCGATGGGATTTCCATCGACTATTTGATGAGTCTATAAGGGTGCCTCTGCCTTTGCTATAGTTCCAGCACCTATTGCGACAGTTCAAAAGCAAAAGCCCTGCAGGGAATATGGGGCTAGCGGGAGTCCCCCACTGGCTTCATGCTCCTGCAGGGCTTCTGCTTTTGACATATACAAAAGCCCCATGCAGGATTATTTTTTAACTTGCTCCTGTATTTCAGAGCACTTTATTTCCACCTATTTCAGTATTTTTGCACTTTTATCCCAGATCTTGCAAATTCCTCCTGAGAAACCGATTCCACCAGGCTGCTGTCCCCCTCAAATGGTCAGTTAATACATTCTCTATATAAATAGAATCTAGACATATTTTTTTACCATTAAAATATTTTAAAAAAAAGTTTAATGCATGTAAAATTCTTTAACTCCTGCTATAATAGGTATCAAATTCTTCTATCTCTTGCTTAAACTTAATGATTAAACCCTTCATTTTTTAAAATTCCTGCAAATTATTGAAGTCTGTCCTTTTTTTGACCACCAGTTGCTCCTAAAACCAAGAACATTGCTCTTGCTCTCGCTATTATAGCAGTAGTGTGTAGGAGGATTCATCAGTGGTTGATCTTGGATATGTAAGTGACAGCCAGTGTATTGCAGCACCAAGAAATGGATTACTTTATGCTCAGCTGAATTTTCTATATATCTGAATAGTATTTTTAAAATTAATTGAGCCATATGTCTAATTCTGTCTTAATTTAGCATAGTAGCATATCAAAATTAGGGATGTAAGTAACTAGTTGACTACCCAGTACGCATATGCTTATCAGGTAGTCTAGTAGTGACTTGAGTAGTTGCTTCACTCTCCCTCACTGCTGCCTCTATCAGAGAGAGGCAGCAAGAGTGAGGAGGGAGGGAGTAGGAACCTGTGTGTGGGGAGCCAACTTAAAAGCTGTTTTTCCCTCAGTACTTTCGCCATATGGTGGGGGACAGGGCACTAGCTGGGACAGCTGATTCCCTACTTATTCTCAATTCCCCCACTACACCTCTGCACCTAGTGACTCCGTACGTTTAAAAGGCAGAGCTGCAGTGAGGTTACTCGATTAGCTGATTAAATGCAATTTAACATCCCTAATCAAAATAGGTAAAAATAGAGTAGGATACAAGAAATGTTTAGACCCGGAGTAGAGAATCAGATTTCTTGATACAATGTGTCCCCTAACCAATGCTTCCATAAACAAGAAGTAAGATAGTGGCTGGAAGACTTGTTTCATATTTGAGATTCAGTATTTTATTAGTTAGAGCAGTGTTTCCCAACTTTATTTGGCCATGAAACCCTTTTGAACTTGAAAGAATTTTGCGGAACCCTGACTGACTGCGTGTGCAGCACAGAGTAGTGACATCATCCCCACTTTCTGGCTAAGCTGGCATTACACAGGGACACTTATTGTGGCAAACACAAATGAAAATTGTTTTCATTAAAATTGATGAATGTAAATTCCATTCCATTACAATAATTCAGGTTGTAATGGAATTTTCTCGCTGAACTCATATTTTCACTTCGTGGAACCCCCAGGGTTCCATGGAACACCATTTGGGAAACACTAGGCTAGAAGCTAGAAATGTACTTTTGTGTTAATCATAAGGCAAAAATTGATGTTAGGCTGTCTAGAATTAGCATTGACTGAGTTTTCTTAGTTAAATGATTTAGTGTGTGAATCATGTTTTTGAATGTGTTACTCAGCTATCCCTACTGTTGAACAATGTAATGTGTAAGCTTGGGAGAGCTGATCCAAACTAACTTACACACTTAAAAATCAAGTATGGAATAGAGTTTTGCAAGATTGGACAGGTAAAATTCAGCCAAACATTAATCTTCTATTCAGATTTATTTTTCTCTAAGCATAAAATAGCATCTACAATGACATTCACACTCCAATGGAAACCCAATGGTAACTACTGAATAGGCAAGAGGAAAATCAGTAATCGCATTTTAGACGTGCTTTTCCTTTGCTTCTCTCCTCCGGACTAACAGAATTTAAGTTGAATGTACATTAGTGTAGGCCGTAAAATCAGAGTATGGCTTCATCCCTTACCAATATTCATTGGGACTTTATTTTCTGAGCTCTAAATTACAACTATAATATATTCTGGCTAATAGGTAGCATGAGTCTTCGGTAGGCTGGTGATGCTAGCTTGGCTTCAGCTAGATGGGGTGTAAATCTCTACAATGGTATGCAAGTTCTGGGGTATTTGAGAAGAGTTAAAATGTTTGATCAAATGTTTGCTCACATAATTGGTGAAAAGTCATTTGATCCGTCAAGTACTGAAATCAATTGAGGCAAGAATCACTGTTTCTAACTTTCCCATGCTTTTCTCCCACACATTAAAATAATTTCTTTTAATATTTTTAGACGTGAACCACTGGCTCTTATCAACCTGAAAAAGAAAAATGAAGAGACTGGAGAAGAAGAGCTTGCTTCTCGCCTAGATCACTGCAAAGCAAAAGCTACCAGACACATATTCCTTATCCGCCATTCTCAGTACAACTTGGATGGCCGGATTGATAAAGACAGAACTCTCACCGAACTGGGTATGTGTGATTAGGATCTTACTTGATTGTTCAGTTTCTTAGAGAGAGACGTTCTTGTCTGTCACTAATCTTATGTAAAATCAACCAGTTCTGCTCTGGATCCTGTTGCCAACTAGGGATATGAATGATTAGTCGACTAGTTGCTCTCCACCCCCAACACTGTCTCTATCAGAAAGTGGCAGCGAGGAGAGAGTGCTTCCAAGCATCAGTGCCGCGTGGGGTCTGTGGTCAGCTAGGGACCCACGCTGACTCCAGGATCCATGCTAGGCTGCTGCTTTGAAACACTGCAGGAAGCACAGAGATAGTGGGGGACTGCTTGAGTCTCCTGCTGGCCCCGGGCTCCCCGTAGCGCTTTCACCTTTGAAGTGTAGCAACAGCCCTGGGGAGGCACCCTTATCAGTTAATTGAATAGTCAGTGCAGATTGCATTGACTATTTGATTAGCCAAGGGGTCAGATTTCAGATGTGGAGTGCAGAGATTTGACTTACAGGCAGTCCCCGGGTTACGTACAAGATAGGGACTGTAGGTTTGTTCTTAAGTTGAATTTGTATGTAAGTCGGAACTGGTACATATTGTAGGGGAAACTCTAGCCAAACATTTCTCCAGAGCTCAGTTTTATTCTCCCACACCTCACTTCCCTCAGCCCTTTATTCTCAAGCTGAAGTGTCTGCTGAGAAAAGC